AAGCAAGTGGAAAGTAAGTTTTTCTCTCCTTGGCATTCTGCTATTTAACCCTGAAATAAAAATAGTTTCAGATCTAATATTGTTTAATTTATATCATTACCTTGTGCGTGGCATATTATCAAACACTTTCAAATTTTTCATAGAAAACAAGTAAATTAGTGTGACAGGATCTATTAATCATAAAACTACACTGGCTTCCACGTAACATTGAATTTAAATTAGATGAAGATCTTAAATGTCAAACCTTATCCATTTCAGTTCCTTTTCATCTATAGCAGCGATAACTATACGGTGTTATATTATATATGTGCTTGCAGCCTGTGTGCCTGTGTAGATAATACAATTGTACAGGTGTTTCTTAAAAACCATATTAGCATTGCACTTAACATTTTAATAAATAATAAGGTGGAAAATAACACAATTTAGTGTGAGTGGAATTAATGTGTTATGTGCATAACTAAGATATTTTCCCTTTTATTGGAGTAGTGGTGTCTTAAATTCCTAAGATTTTAGATTGAATGAAGATTTGACTGTGTCCCTGAGGTTATTCCATAATTGCGGTGCTCTGTAAGAAAAGGAGGATTGAGACACTTTATTTTTGTATTGCGGAATGCTAAATATCGTGCTAGCGCTGGATACTGGATCGGAGGTGGGAACATCCGGGGAGAGCATTCTACTCAGGTAGGGTGGGAGCTTCCCAGAAATGCTCTTATGCACAAGGCTGGAAAGATGAAGAGTGTGTCGGGATTCCAGCGACAGCCAGTTTAATTCTTTTAACATGTCACAGTGTTGGTTAAAGTAATTCCATTCTAGTACAAAGCGGCAGAACGAATTATATAACGTATTAAGTTTTTTACGGTGGGTTTGCGATGCGGGGGCATACACTACATCCCCATAATCAATGACCGGCATTAGCATTTGTTACACTATCTGTTTCCTTACTATAGGGCTTAGGCAGGATTTGGTTCTTTACAGGGCACCTAGTTTTGTGTAAAGTTTTGAAGAGATTTTTTTCAATGTGAAGGCCAAAGGATAGATTGGTGTCTAGCAACATACCTAGATATTTAAAAGAGCAGACTGCTGTCAGTGTGCTATTTGAATTCGTTCTGATACACAATTCTTGATTTTGTAGTTTACGTAATTTAGGTACAGTTCCATTGTAACGGTTTTGTCAGGATTTAGGAAGAGTTTGTTATCCGCTATCCACTTTTCTACCTCTGTGAATTGGTTTTGGAGCACAGCCTCAAGCTGCGGTACATTGGGTTTACAAGCATAGATTACAGTGTCGCCTGCATACATGTGTACAGTTGAGGATTTGCAGACGTTAGGCAGATCATTTATAAATAATGTGAACAGCGGGGGCTGAGTATGGAGCTTTGTGGAACACCACACGTGACTGGAAGAGGAAGGGAAGAGCTATCAGAAATGGCCACATATTGCAATCGGTCTGAAACGTATGATCGAACCCAGGTTAGCGGACATTCACCAATGCCTGAGTTTTTAAGTTTTTGCAAAAGAATGCCATGGTCTACTGTGTCAAAGGCCTTGGCAAAATCAAGGAAAACAGCTCCAGTTAAGTCTCCTTGTTCCATGCCAATTTGGATGTCGTTGCAAACTTTTAAGAGGGCAGTCGAAGTTGAGTGATTTGGACAAAAGCCTAATTGTTCAGGAGGTCAGATAATTTGATCATTGATAATATTCACATAGTTGCGTGTGGATGCATTTTGCCAAGATTTTTGACAATACAGCAATGCTATTGGGTGATAATTAGATACCAAAGTATTGTCATCACTTTTATGGATAGGTACAACTTTTGCAGTCTTCCAAAGTTTGGGAATGTATCCTGACACCAGGGATTCATTGATAAGGGTATTGACAGGTTTAACAATTGCTGGTGCATGGAGCTTCAGCAACATTGCTGGGATTTGATCTGGTCCACACTGGATTTTTATTTTTAAATTATTAAGATGTTTATTAACGACACTAACAGCACTGTTACAGCAATCACATTGAGTACATTGAGAACTTTTACAAATAAATACAATGGAGGCAGTATAGACCAAATAGCATAAACAACGTATTAAGTTATCCCGACTCCATTAAACCAAGTGGTTACATTGCGTCTCAATAAATTGGGTGGAGGGATACTCCTCGAGTTCACTATGGCATCTATCCCAATCCGTAAAAGTGTCAGTGTCGGTACCGAGTATTAATTCATGAACAGTACAGAAAACAAAGACAATAAAATAAGGATGTAGACAAAATAAAGTAATATCGTATATAGTAAGAACTTGTATACAAGTGTCCCTCCACCCCCAGTGGACTATTGACTACAACATTGGGGTATGTATAGAGTAAATTAGAGAATAAATGGCAAGTGTTAGAGTGATTGGTCCTGGACCAGTTTCTGCTAGCAATGTGTCCCCTGCCAGTAGAATGTAGATATTTTATGAATAGGCAGAGAGTTAAGTACATCCCACTCTCTACTAAGCCTTAAAGTAGATTAGCTCAGTGCAGTTGGCCTGATATAATAGTCATGCTCTGAAGGTCTTGAGAAGGGCTGTCTAATCGTATGGGATTGATAGTTTTCAGATTGCACACATTGGGGTTATGAGTGTGTCTTTATTGAGTTCCAATCATTTCTCCAAATATGTTCTGCTTCTTCATTGTATTTTCCAAGTTTAATTTGTTTGTGTGCCATGAGCTTGTAGTCCCAGTTAGTGTTAATCTGGTTAAGTAGTGCTTCCCGTAAGGGTGATGTCAAAGATTTGAATGCCCTAGCAATTGGTGTATTGGAGGCTATAAGAATGTTGAAGTGCAGTTTTTAGTCCACTTTAGGCAAAATCTCTTGCCACATAAAAAGAGGCATCTATGTGCAGGACGATAGCTACTATACTCTATACTATTACCCAAAAGTAGTATGTTGTCCCAACCTCATTATTGCATCTCCAACATTTGTTGGATGAATTGAGGTATATGTGAGCTACATTGTGTGGCAACGGTATTGCAGCTTCCTTTAAAGTTCAAGATGAGACGCACAGGACGTATTGCCCATGGGTGCTTGAAAGGGTTTCTCCCACATATTGGAAAATGTCTTGCCCATCTCCCCTTGCCAGGAGGTCATAGAATGTTCTGTAGTGCACTGACTGTCGACTAAAAGAAGCAGATATATAGTAGACAATTTTTCTAGGTTGGGATCCTCCAAACAAATAGTTTTCAAAGTAGTCATGGCTGGTCTCTTGATTTGTTGGGCAGGAGTTGTAAGAAGAGACTTTAGTTGAAGGCATGTAAAAAGTGCTCTAGAATTGGGAGAGGAGTTCTGGAACTTGTTTCATTATTGTGTTGTGATACAGATGGACATGTGTACATCCCTTGGGTATCCACATAGTGTAAACAAAAGGTTGAGGTTTTGTAGATATATACTGTAAAGGGGTGTGGCCAATGATATTGGTATGCCCCCACATAAGCCAGTACGTGTTGTATCCCAAGTGTGGAGGAGTAACTTGGTAGTGCACCAATTCAAGAGTCACTTCTAGACAAAGATTGTTGACACTCTGACCCAATAAGGAGACATAACTGGACAAGAGACAGCACCAAGATACTAATTATGCCGTTTTAAGGAGAGGTCTATGTGTATTTTTATAGTGACTCTTTGTGCAAGGCAAGATGCCTAATACACTGGTTTCTTAGGCCCGGAAGCGTATCTAAAACTCTCATGTGATACATTTTATTATTTAAAGGAAACTAATTAAAGGACCACTATAGTCACCCAGACCACTTCAGCTCAATGAAGTGGTCTGGGTGCCAGGTCCCCCAGGTTTTAACCCTTCAAATGTAAACATAGCAGTTTTAGAGAAACTGCCATGTTGACATTGAGAGTTAATCCAAAATCTAGTGGATGTCTTCCTGACAGCCGCTAGAGGCGCTTCTGCGACACTGAATGAGAATATCACATTCAGCGTGCAGAACGTCCATAGGAATGCATTGGGAAATTTTTTTAATGCGCGTGCGACTCTGGCCGCTAATGCGCATTCCACTCCACTTGGGAGCTGACGTCTGAGTGGGAGGAGAGGTCACCAGCGCCGAGGGAGCCCGGCACTAGATTAAAGTAAGTAGCTGAAGGGGTTTTAACTCCTTCAGCCCAGCGGGAAACCTAAGGGTTATATAGTGTCAGGAAAACGAGTTTGTTTTCCTGGCACTATAGTGATCCTTTAAGTATTTTACAATAATTTTTTCCACCATGTCTCTCCTCTTCATTCTCATTTAAAATATGAAAGATTTAAACAAAATTGTAGAATTAAACAAAATGCAGACATTAATTTGATAAGTGCTACTCAACAGTACTGTAATCTTACTTGAATATTTTCTAATATATACACCTAATGTCCTTATTACAATACATGAATATACTTTTTTTTTTTTTTTTACAGGATTTCAGAAAATATAAGTCTGTTTTAGAATATTGTAATGCAGTACTGAATATTATCAAGTTATCTTACTACTGTGAAGTTCTACAAATTCTCAATTATTTTTGTCATCTAGACGGTTCCTAATTTATACTTGGCAAGAGTTATGATAAATAAAAGCTCTGACATAAAATATTCATCGGAATGTTTTATATTACATTAGCACTAAGAGAGGATTATTAAGATAGTGTCAATTATGTTAATGTGAAATTATGATAATGTCCAGATGTTTCTTGTGTCACAATTATGGTTTATGGGATACAAATGCATCATTACTACAGCAAATTATTACTAGGATATATTGCTAGTATTTTTTTTATGGGGAAAACTCATAACAGAGACAACAAATCCTGCAGATTGTCTCAATTTATTTCTCTGTTTTGTTCTCTATAACGAGGTGGGTTCACGTCTACAGGATATTTGAAACAAGAGAATTATGACAAGAAGAATAGAATTCAAATGTATCAAATTATTTTATTGTAATAATTAAAATATCACAACTAAAAAAACAAAATCACAACATTTGTTATACACATTTGAGGTAACTAAGAGTAGAACAATTAAAAAACAAAACAATAATAAAAATGTATTATATATATTTATATGTATTATATTTTTTCCTCCTTTAGATGTAGGTTGGCACAATTTGCTTGCAGTTACCAAAATAACTTTAGCTTAATGAAGCAGTATTGGTGCATATACCATGCCTCTGCAGTCTCACTGATCAATTCTCTGCCATTTAGGAGTTAAATCACTTTGTTTATGCAGCCCTTGGCACACCTCCCTGCATGTGACTTGCACAGCCCTCATAAACCGTTCCAGTAAAAAGTCATCTAATGTGTACACTTTCTTTATTGCAAATTCTGTTTAATTGAGCATGTCTTCTCTGTTATTTGCTTGCTAGATCCTGCAGGAGCCTCCTTTATGCAATTAAATATTAATTTACAGAGCAGGATATAAAAACCATATAAAACCATTTTGTTTCCATGCACGTTGTGTCAGTCACAGTCAGTGGAGGTGAGGCTAGGGATTCATAAACAGAAACAAAGTGATTTAACTCCTAAATGGAGAATTGAGCAGTGAGACTTCAGAGGCAT